CAGGATTCTGAACGCAGCCAAGCTGCCGGCCACGAGTGAGGTAGACGCGGATGCTTGCCTGCTCGGCCCCATGCTCAGGAGGCCTCGAGAGGCCGGGCTCCGCCAGCGCGTGGGAGGACCCCAGTGAGGGGCACGGGGAGAGGGGACGCGGTGCTTGTAGGCCGAGGGGATCCCGGGCGGACCGTGGTGGAGAGCAGAGGGGGCAGGGGGGAGTTCAGCGGAACCGAGAGCATCGCAGAGGGCGGGCTGCCGAGTTGGGGAGAGAACTGCTGGTGGCTACAAGGAAAACGAAGCAAGTAAACAGAGGCAGTGATTTACTCCGGGAAAATGAGAGTCTTGTACAGGAAAGTAAGTGTAATCCCTACCCGGAGTGCTTTGAGCAAAACACTTGGTTAAACTCCCAAGTACGCCCAAAACTCCTGCTCTGGCTATGCTGGGAGAAGGCAAGCGTGTGTGAGCGGACTTGGCCCATCCTTGTCTGCCTCTGCTGAGGACCCGTAGACTGGAAACTGGACCGTGAATGAACTACCTAGGCATGTTAGAAGTTTAAGGGTAAGAGAAGCTGAACCCAGAGTTTGCTCTGGGTGGGACTGGGGGTGGGGCGGAGGGCCGGATTTCCTGCGACTCGCTTTCTAGTACTCTGTGAGTTCTTAAACAAGGTACACGCGTGGCTTTAGTCGAAGAATGCCGCAGGGTCCCAGCCCCAGGATCCTGGCAGTTTGGGGCCCAGGGCTGACAGGTTCCCGCCACCAGAGTTCTGGTGGGAGTTTTGATGGGCTCCACCACCGTGTCGTGACAGGGGACCCTTGATTTCGGGGGAGTTCCGCCTAGAATGTCAGTGGCTTCTGAGGGGTCCGGACCCCGAGGCCCAGTGTCAGGAGGCGCTGCCGCTGCCCGTGGGAGCCGGGATTTGGCTGGAGTCAGCAGAAGCCCTTCTGGAAAGGATCGTCCGGTTGACTTGAAAGTGGAGCCGTCGGAGAGCGCGTGGATTGTGTTTTTGCCCAGGAAGGCGGCGCTGCCCCGCCAACCCTCCCGGTCACTGGCGGGAAAGCCTGGCTCTCCTCCGCCTCACCTTGGGTTTGCTGGCGGGCAGGTGGGCTCCTGGTGCAGGCTGCCTCCCGCGCCTGCCTCCCCCGCTGGCCTCAGTTGGCAGTGGGATGGTTGGGGGAGCTGAGGCCCCTCTTCCCCACCTGCTCTAGTACGCCCTGGCCCAGTGGCCGCAGGAGTGCGGGTGCTTCTGGCCTGGATGCACCCCTGCAGCACCGCCCCACCCCCGCTTCCCTGCAGGCTCCATCGTGGGCTCCATAGGGGGCTGGCTTCCCTGCCCTCATGTCTGCTGGGCGTGCTCGGATGCCCTGGGGCTGGGGTGGGTGCAGGTGGGGACCTGCAGACTTGGGTCCCCACTCCGGAAGCACTCCCCTTCCCAGCTCGCTGACCTCAGGCTAGTAGCCCAAACCGGAGACGCCGCGGCCTTATTGGCACAGGCGGTGCTCCATGGTCATCCTCCTGACCTGTGCAGGAGCTTCTCCCTCCCCCGCCCGGTGTCACCTGTTGTCTGGGATGTGGCTTGGACAGGAGCGGCCTGATGGCTTGTGTCCTTTGTTGGGATGAGGGTGGCCCGGATGGGCAGAGGCTGTGCTGTGTGCTCGTGTGCGTGCCGTCCTGGTAAGTGGAGCCGGTCATGGTCTTAGGAGCCCAGAGAGGCGCTCGTTTGGCTTGGAGCTGCTCACTTCATAGCCGTGCCCCCAACAGCCCTGTGAAGAAGGGGGGAGCATTGCCACATTTTTGAGGGGGGAGGACTCCCAGGGTGGCTCTTGGAGCAGGCCGGTTGAATGAATAAAGGGGCGGATGAAGGGATAGCCCTTGAATGGCCATCACCAGATCCTGAGGGAGGACTTTGACCTAAGTCCCGTGTGGGAGACACATAGCCCCACTGAGCGGGGGTGTCCACAGCCGGGCAGGAAAGGGCTGCGGCAGGGGAGAGCCGCCCCGGGTATGAAGGACGCATGGATGGTGGTCGTGGATGGTGGTCGTGGACACAAGCCCGTGTTAAGTCCCGTTTCCCAGGTGGGTGGGGGAGACCCTAGGGTCTTGTTCATGTGTCGGGCCCGTGTACTTACTGAGCAGCTACTGAGCGCCAGGAACCATGTGAGAACGTAATGTGAGTGCGGTCAGTAGAGTAACAGTCCCAAGCCATCCACGTCCCAACACACAGACCTGTGAGTAGTTCACCTTTTGTGGTGAGGCGGATGGAGGTTTCCAGACTGCTCCCGGGCGGGAGGCTGTCCTGGGCTCTGGGTGAGCTCGCTGGGTGTGCCCACGCGGGTTACCAACCGAGGAGGAAGGAGGAGGGGTGATACAATGTGGCGACAGCCGGAAACGGCAAGAGGACTTTTCCCCTGGAGTCTCCAATGGGGAGTGGTGGTGCCCGCACCCTGGCTGGAGCCCGCTGTGGTCTGTGTTGGCCTCTGACGTCCAGAGCTGTGGGACAGTAACTGCTGTTTGAAGCCACAGCAGCCCTAAGAACTAAGATGTAACTAAGACGTGTTCTCTGTCCTCACGAGCCCCCCAGTCATGCCAGTGCACCAAATGCGGTTGGAGCAGAGGCGCGGGGTGCTCTGGGGTGGGAGAGAGCTACAGACAGGTCACAGGGTGTCTGGGAAGGCCTCTGGCAGCAGCTACTCAAAGACCACGTTGGTCAGGCAGGAGGGTGATCCATTGAAGCCTTGGGCCGCAGGGGTGCTGAGTTCTGGGGGGAAGGGAAGACCCAGCCACAGCCCAGAGAGCCGGAGGGGTGGAGAGAGGAGAGGGGCCGAGAGCCGCTGGGACATGGCAGGTGGGGACACAGGTGGAGGGTCCCTGCAGCCGCCGAGGGGCCGACTGGGCTCACGCTGATACCCAGGCACCACCAGGGTGGCGGCAGTGGACGTGGAGAACAGAGGCCCAAAGGGAGAGACTGGGGCGCGGCTGGCGCCTGGTGCAGACCCTTCTGGACGGCGAGCCTGTGTCTGGGCTCTGGTTACGTTGACCCGTCAGTGCTGTTGCATCATCCTCTACAGCTGGTTTCCTCCCGTGATCATTCTTTCCCATCTTGCCAGCTGCAGAGGCCAGGGGCTGCCCACTGTCCTCGTCCCGTGTTTCCCGTTGGCTGCCCCAGTGCTGTGGCTTATGCTGAAGGCCAGGCCGAGTTGCTTGAGCAGGTAGAGGACATGGAGGGGCTGGAGGGGGCCATGGGGAACAGGTCAGCAGTGGGGCAGGTGGGGAGCTTCCGTGGGCTCTGAGGAGGCTGGTCTTCTGGCTTGGATACTTAGTGGAGGTGAGGTTGGGGCATGTGGAACTGATGGGTCACTGGCAACGTCAGGGGATGTTACCGTGCAGAGTGTCTGTCTGGGTCGCTGCCTGTGAGGGCTGCAGGGCTGGGGGCAGGGCCACTAAAGATGGGTCCTGAGGCTGTCCCTGGGAGAGGCCTGCTTTGGGAACTCTGCCCACAGTCTGATTTTGGAGGGCAGGTGCCCCGGGCCGTTGGGTGAACAGACTTCGCCAGGAGTAGGGTGGGAGCCGCACAGTTTGGCCTCAGGCTCCTCCTCTGTAAATGGGGGTGATGGTCGTCACCTTTCAGGCTGGTGGGAGGATCCCATGGCTAATAGGTAAAGTCATTTCTGTTTGACTTAAAAAAGCCACCACACTGTTTTCTCAGTGCCTTTGTTCCAAAGCTGCCTCTTCCAAGAAGTCTTCCTCAATCGACTTACCGTCTTTTGATTACTCAGCAGCCAAGGTTTGCTTGTGTGTTCAGAAAACAGGGGTTGGGCACGGCCATGTGCTGGCTGTCCGTGTAGAGCAAAAAACCAGGCCCATGTCTTTCCAGCAGGAGGGTGGGAGCCGCGAAAGCAATGTGCAGGCTGTTCCTGGCCTGTTGGCGCGGTGTGGGGCGGCGGGGAGCGTGTGAGTGTCAGATGTGGCCGGCAGGGAGTCCTCACACCTGTAGGGCCTGCTGGAGGGAGGGAGGGGCCCAGGCAGGCGCCGGCAGATCAGGTGGGGTGTGAGCTGGGTGCACTCCGACCGGCAGGGAGGCCAGTAGGAGCTCGGTGGTCAGAGAGCGGGGCAGTCAGGGGTGCCGGGTAGGGACACAGAGAGCTGTGGACAGGCCTGCAGGCCGTAGGGAAGGTCTCCTTTCTGAGGAGATGTGAGGTCCCTGTGGGGTCTTCGTGGACGAGGATGCCATCTAATGTCCGTGTTGGAATGGCCGATCTGCTGCTTTGAGGAAACCACACAGGTGGGTGGGCCGGGCCAAAGCAGAGTGCTGTGGGGGGTCTTGTGGCGCTGCCTGGGCTGGAAGGGACAGCTCTTTGCTCCCCCTGATGGCAGATCTGGGGTTGCTGAGTGTGGGCCTGAGCAGGGCACGGGCAGGTTGGCCGTTTGTGGTGGGGGCAGGTCCGGGCCCTGTGAGTCAGTGGGCAGCGCACATTCCTGGGTGTGCAGACGGTTGGGGGAGTGTGGAGCTGGCTTTGGTGGGGGGACGGCGTGAGGCCCTCTAGGGAGCACAAGCAGCCAGGAGGGCAGGGGTCTGAGGCGGTGTTGGGGGCAGCCAGCATTTGCAGAGTGGGGAGATGAGAACGAGCGACAGACGCGTCCCCCGGAGTACAAGGACCGAAGTCTGGAGGAGGAGGCCCCGGCCTGCGGGGTCTGTTTCTCGTGAGAGGTTGGGGGGTGGTGGTGGGATAGCACTGGGCTCGCCGGTAGTGACGTGGAGCGGATAGCCTGAGCGGCGCGGGGTCCGCACACAGGGACCAGATAAGGTGCTGGGGGTTACGCTCTTTGGTGTCCTGCCTGTCCCTAGGGTGTCCTGCTCTTTGCGGCTCTGCACTTGGTGGCTGGCTGGGTATGGGATGGGCTGTGGGTCTTCAGGCCCAAGTCTGGGGCAGCAGGTGCTGCCTGGAGAGTGGGGCCGGCTCGCGGGCTTCCTCTGAGTGCGGCCCCCTTGGGGGCTTCTCTCCCTCCAGGCACGAGCCTGCTGCAGGAGGTGGTCTACTTGGTGAGCCAGGGGGCCGACCCCGATGAGATCGGCCTGATGAACATTGACGAGCAGCTCCCGGTCCTGGAGTACCCGCAGCCGGGCCTGGACATCATCAAGGTACTTCTGGGCCAGTAGCACCCAGCCCCTAGGATTCCCTGGGGACCTGGAGTGACAGTTGCTCCTGGGGTTCGGGAGGCCCATGGTAGAAGGAGAGCAAAGAGCTGCCGGTCCCCATAGACAGCCAGGTGAGAGACTGATCAGCTGGAGCCCATGCCAGTGACCCTGAGATGAGAACAGTGGGTGACATGGGTGACTCTGAAGTAGAAAGGGGGCTCCCCGCTGTGGCTCACCCCCTCTGTCAGGGGAGCGCGGGAGGATGCGATGCTACGGTGGTCAGTGTCAGGAACGAAAGGGTCATTCTCCCGGAGTGCTGTCCCTCCTCGTGCTTGGGTACCGCTGAGATCCTTTGTCCCCTTCCCGTCCCTGTCCCCTCTTAGCTCAGGCCTCCTTTCCTGCGCGGACCACCTGTCCGTCCCCCACTGGATGAGCATTCTGAAGGAGAGCTCCGAGAGCGCCCCGCCCCCCATGTCGTTGCTCTCAAAGTCCAGGGGCCCGTGTACCCCAGTCCCTGCCTGCACTGCGGCCTCCGGTGGCTGCTGAGCTGCACCCGGCTGTTTGCTCCCTGGTGTGGAGCCGCGTGGGTCCAACCCTCGCCGACTCAGCCATGGAGCCCCTTGGGAGAGCTGTGCTGGGCGCCCACCACGGGCACTGCTCTATGGCCCTGGGTTGCAGCCGAGGACAAAACCGACAGCATTGCATTCCAGGGAGGGAGACCGGCAGGGGAGGAGCAAGGAGCTGTGGTTAAATGGTGATCAGCACTGTGTGGGGACAGCACCCAGGGCGGCCGTCCTCTCTGGGGACCCGCTGAGTAAGGTTGTGAAACAGGAGCCACGCGGGCGAGCTGGGACACGGACAGTGTGGACCTGCACGTTCCAGGAGCAGCAGGAAGGCCTGAGGCCAGTGGGACTGAGTCAGCAGGTGCCCCCAGGCGCCTCGGCCTCCCGTCTCCTCGGCTGCCCTTCACGGCCTGGGCAAGCCCTTGGAGCAGACCCCCAGGACCTTGATCGGTCGGCTCACGCTGTGGGTGCCCAAGGACAGGGACACGTCCTGTCCAGTCTGGAGGGTGGCCAGATCTTGGGTGAGAAATTTCCCGGTGGAGTGCAGGTCCTGACCGTTAGAAAGGCCGGCGAATGAGCGGCTGTGTGTCGTCTGAATGCCTCTCCCTCTGACCATCCGCAGGAGCTGACGTCTCCCCGTCTCATCAAAAGCCACCTCCCCTACCGCTTCCTGCCCTCCGATCTCCACAATGGCGAGTCTAAGGTAACCTGCGCCCCCAGCCCGGGCAGAGCTCCCAGCAGGCAGAGCTGGTCCGCCGCACTCGGGGCTGCTGCCAGGGTTCCTAGAGGCCCGCCGTGCCGAGCACCACAGAGGCCATCTTGAGCTTGTACCCCCAGCCTTTTGTCCACGTTTCTGATAAGGGATTTTCCTTACAGTCGAACTTGGGCTTGACCAGCTCGGGTCCAGCCTCTGCTCCTGTGTCAGGCCCAGGACCCGCCGCTGCTCACGGTCTCTGATCTTTCTCGTTTGCTCAGCATGTTCCGTTGATGAGGCCTCGATTCTCATCACCAGGGTCAGGCCCGTCGTGTTGCGGGATGGAAGTGTAATCAGATGCTCGGGCGTCGTCCCACCCGATGCTGTTAGCCAGAGGAGAATGCGCCTCTGGCGTGGGGGCCGTGCACACCTGGGGCCAGCCTGGGAGCCAGCCTTGGGGCTGGACTGGGCTGTCAGTTTACAGGGGGTCAGAGGAGCAGCGACTGAGCCGCCCGTCCCTCCCACTACAGGTCATATACATGGCGCGGAACCCCAAGGACCTGGTGGTGTCCTACTACCAGTTCCACCGCTCCCTGCGGACCATGAGCTACCGGGGCACTTTCCAGGAGTTCTGCCGGAGGTTCATGAACGACAAGTGTAAGTGTCTCAGCCTGCGTGGGTGGGGGTGGGGCTGGCTCGTTCCCTGAAGCCGTGCGTGTGCTCACGCTTTGCCCACGTCGCCCCCTGTTCCCCCCAGGTCCCTCGATGAGCACGCTGCTGGGGCCCACTGTCCCGCTGACAGGCAGAGAAGCGGGGCTCAGGGGTGCCTGGAAGCTCGGCAGGGGTAGTAGCGGGGGTGGGGGGACGCAGAGCCGGGTCCAGCTCGGGAACCCTTCACTCTCACCGCATCGCTGGGCTTCTGAGAAGGTCCCTGGTTGAAGCATTCCTCTTCCCGCCTGGATTCTGAGCAGTAGAAAGCGAGGGAGGGAGAGTTCTCCTGTTGGTGACAGAGGCCCGACTGGGGGCTGTGGCCTCGTGGGAGGGCCCCGGGGGCTCTGAGCTGTGCTCGAGGGTTGGGCCAGAGACTTGGCCCCCAGCCCCGGGCTGTGTGACGGGCAGGGGGTGCTCTGCCAGAGCTCATTCCCAGGAGAGAAGGCGAGGGGGTACCCGGCTTGCTGGGGACCCTCCCTGAGCTCCCCTCTCCGGGACAGGAGCAGACTGGATCAGGGACCTGCCGAGGTGGCTCCCCCATTGCCATCCGTGGCTTCTCTGGCACCTTCCGGGACCCCCAGTGGCAGTTGGGTGAGGGATTGCTTGCAGGGCTGGAGGTGGGCTGCGTCAGTGCAGGGAGTGACTCCTGGCCCAGATGGCTTATGTCCCAACTTGAGTCTTAGCGCTCAGCCCTGCCGTCCACTTGTGTGACCCCCGTCCGAGGCTCTGCAGCGAGCCTGTGTGGCAGGAGTGGGGTGAGGTGCTTGGGGCGAGCCGGGAACGCCCTGCCCCCGATGAGCGCCGGGTCGCCGGACTCGAGCTGCCTCCCACACCGCACGGAAGGCCGGACCCTCACAGGTGCCACACTCCCAGGGCCCTCCGTGCCCGAGCCCCTCGGGATCTGCTTCAGTGGCACCAGGGGCAGCGTCCAGGGGTGGAGGCTGCCCTGGAGCCTGCAGAAGACCCTCTGCCCAGCCTCCCTGTCCCCCGCCCCCCACCACCTGGCTCAGGCCCTTTCTGGTCTGCTGGGTGTTTGGAGCCAGACACGGACGCGGTTTTCAAAACCATGTTCTTAAGTCCCAGCGCGTTCTGCCTTTGGAGAAGAGCGACCAGCTCAGGCCTGTGCCCCATTAAGGAGTCAGCGTCCACCCAGTCAAACTGCCACCTGGTGTTGGTCTTACGTTAGTCTCTTGCTCAGGCCAGGGGATTTCAGTTATCCTAATACAGGTCTTCGTGTTTTGAAGGTCACGGCCCATTTCTTGAAGGTCAAGGCCACAGGCACTTGCTGTGATCGCACCCAAGCCTCTGTACACGTGTACTTAGCCCCCCACGTTCTCTCTCCACCCAGCGCTCGCAGCTGGTGCACCGTAGCTCGGGCCCTCGGAGGCTCTCATTCTCTCCTCCATCTGCGCATGGAAGGGGCAGTGGCCAGCCCCATTCACTGACAGAGCGAGCTTCGAGGAGCCGCTGACGCAGGCCTGCCCTTGGGTGTTGTAACCCGTGCACTTGGGGCAGGCGTGCCTGGGGCTGCATGTCCCAGTGACAGGAGTGTCGGAGACTCGCTGTGTAGACAGGGTCGCTCCCAGAGAGGGGGCTGAGTCAGCTGCTCTTGTCCCGGATAATCTGTTTGGATAAGCACACTGACCTCCCACAGCAGAGGGACCCCGGTGGGCAGAGGCTGGGGGGGCCCCGGTGGGGTTCCTTCCCAGGGTGACACATCCTGAGTGGGAAGAGCAGTGTCTCCACCAGCAAGGTCTGTGGCCCTTTCTCTGCCGGCTGGTCGGGGCTCAGAGACACAGGCCATTGTTGTCCTTGTGATCATTGACCCCACAGGAGTGACCACTGTCCCCATACCTCACTGTGCCCCCCACCTGTGTTCTCGTGTGTAGTGACCACTCTCCTCCACCCTCACTGTCCCCACATCACCCCTCCTGCTCAGCCCCCAAGTCCTCCCCTGGGGCACTGCTTGCCTGTTGTGCAAGTTTGCTCGTGCAGCCCCTTGGAACGACAGGGATTTTCTTAGCTTCTGTGTTCATGGCTGTTGGACTCCTGCTCTGTCTCAGGGCTCAGGTCACCTAGACTGCGTGCCATCCTGGGCACTGATGCGGGAGGCAGGTTCTCCTCTTGGGGCCTCCGTGATTATGAGCCTGTTGGTGAGTCGGTCCTCATTCCTTCTCCAGACTCTGCCTCGTCTTCTCTCCAGTGGGAAGCCCGGCCTGGCTGTTTCAAGGCCCGCCTAGGGTGTATGGAGTGTGAGGTGCTGGGCTAGCCAAGGAAGGGGTGCCATAGGGACCCCAGCCCAGCCACTAGACCTCTACAGTGAGGGGACTGAGGCCCCTGCTGGCCAGGATTTACCCCGCAATGGCTTCCAAACTAGGCCTCTTGGCTGAACCTGTGTTCTTTTCCTTCTGTCATCTCTGCCTTTCCCCCCACCATGCCAGAGCCCCTGCTTCGTTCCTCATAAAATGTGGGTTGGGGTCTGGTTGGCCTGAAAGGGGCCTTTCTGTTGTGATCTGGTCCTTAAGGCCAGCCATTAGCGACCCCTGGCCCACTCCCCATCCTTCAGAAACCCTTTGGGCCATGGGCCAGGCTGCTGTCGTGCTGCCACCTGCTGGCGAGATGGCAGACTGCAGGGGCTGGCCTTGGCAGGAACTGGGTCTTAGGTTTTCCCCACCTCTGTGGGCCTGTAAGTCTGCAAGGTTCTCAGCAGCTTGGGGGCCGAGGCTACGTTCTCTGCTTGAGGTGTGGCTCTGGCAGGGGCGGTACCAGTCCCCTGCCACCCTTCGTCCTCTGAGCCCCTCAGCAGTGAGCGGGACCCAGTGTGGGAATGGAGAGGGAGAGGGAACGGAGGCTCACTTCCCTCTGCAGGCTGCACTCGCGCTGTCCCCGGGCCCTGCCGTGCTGGGAGGCACAGGTTCTGTTGTCCAGGAGGACGTTCCAGGAGGACGAGGCCCCGGAAGGGGAAGCAGCCTGACTGGGTTCCGCAGCTGGGGCAGTCCTGGAGAGGCTGCGTCACCCAGAGGCTGTGTCCTCTACCATTCTGCTGTGCTCCCTCTTTCCCCTCCGATCTAGTCGCTGTGCCCCGAGCCACCCTGATGGCCTCGTGTCCCTTACCCTTCTGAGTCCATTTGCAACCATTGTGCACCCTTCAAGGTTTGTGCCCACATGGGACGGGGCTCCCCTCTGTCCACGGTGCCTCCCTCCCTGCGCTGATCAGTCCATAGCCTCGCTGCCGGTCTGGTCTCCTTGTTGGTTCCCGCCAGGCCAGGAGCTCTTTGAGCCCCAGGCCATGAAGTGGGATCCACGGGCCCGGGTTTGTGAGACGGGTGGGCACCCCAGTGAGCGAGGGTGCAGGCAGTGCGGCCACCGCTCCAGGCCGGCACCCAGTACCCAGCGGCTGCTTGCTGGTGCCGGGCGGGACAGGCACCGCGTGGCTGAGGCCTTCCTGTGTTTAGTGCGGAAGCCCCCTTAGCCTGAGGAGGGGGGTGAGAATCCGTAGCCTCGATAAAGAACATCTCCAAGCAGACCCTCCTGCGCACGTGACCCTTACCCCAGCCAAAGCCCCGAGGAGCGTGGGAGGCGCAGGGCTGTGGTGTGGGGCACGAGGCTCGTGCGTCAGGACGGAGCACGCTGCCTCTCTCCACCTCTGCTCTGTCTTGCTTCCACCCGGCCCTGCTTCTGCCTGTGGGCCACCTGCCTGCCTGCTCCCGCACATCATCCCCCCTGCCAGCAGCCCCCCACCGCCGTCTCCGTTCCCCCGGGCTCACACTCTTCCCGGTGACCTTGTGTCAGACAGAAACTCATGGGAGCCAAGCAGCTTCCGTCCCCCGGGTGAGCAGAGGCCTTTGCCCAATGGTCGGGGCTTCAGGGTGTGCGGGAGGTGCGTAGGGAAGGGGGCTGCGAGCTGTTGGCAGGAGAGACTTGCACGCGGCCAGGGGACGTGGGACTTCAGAGGGGGCTCATCTGTGAGACCACCCCCGGGGCTGAGAGCTTGCTCCTCCCTTCCCGAGCCACAGCTCCTGGGCAGTGAGAGGGGAACCTTCCGGAAGGCAGGGAGCCAGGCCACCCCACTTGTGCACGCTTGCTCCCCTGAGGCCGTGACTCACCTGTTCCCTTGCCTCCACAGTAGGTTACGGCTCCTGGTTCGAGCACGTGCAGGAGTTCTGGGAGCACCGCATGGACTCGAATGTGCTTTTCCTCAAGTATGAAGACATGCACCGGGTGAGTGCGGCAGGCGGCCAGCTGTGCAGGCCGGTGCCCCCGGCCCCGCAGCTCCTAGTGCAGGAGCCCTCCCGCCCCTCGGACGCCACGGTGGGCGTGACTGGAGCGCGCAGCTGGACTCTCCGAGACCCCTGGCTTCTGGGCGGCAGGACTCGGAGGTTCCAGGGGTGCACAGAGTCCTCCCGGCCAGGGCCCTGCCCCCAGTACCAGGCCCATCTGTCCCCCATCTCTGGGGTCAGGGTCACCCTCACTTACGGCCTGGCCCCAGGGGCGGTCTCTGGGTTGGGCTCACTTAATTCTAGAAGGCATTTTCCCTCTCTGCTATGTCATCTCTGGAGGGACATTCTGACGTTTCCCCTTTCTTACAGCAGACGAGAGGCAAGCTTTCCCCAAGTCCCTTTCTTCTCTCACTTCTTGGCCGCACGTGGCTGTGGCTCCCCTCAGAGTTGTCCCCACTCCTGAGCCCGCTCTGGCCGGGCCCGCCCCTGCACCCCCAGTGCTCTGTCAGGGCTGCCCACGGCCTCCCATTGCTCAGTCCGGTGGCCGGTGTTCCAGTCCTCCCACCTGGCCTGGCGGCAGGCGACTAGAAATGCTGCCTCCTCTGCCCGGCCCTTAGTGGCCGGCTGGACCCGCGTCCCTGGCTGTTCTCCTCTTGTGGCCCAGCCCGCCTCAGCTCTCCTCCCATCCTAGCCTTGCTCCCTTCCCCGGTGACCCCAGGCCAGACGTGGACCTTCCCCAGACTCGCTCTCCACTGACCGCCGCTTGCACCTTGCTCCTGGAGCACGTCTGAACCAAACTAGAGGTTTTCTTCAAATCCTCTGAAGTTCCTCCATGTGAGGTGGTGGCAGCCAGCTCCGTCTGGGTCACTCGGGTGAAAGTTGTGAATCCTCCTCGACTTCTGACTTTCTCTCACACCCTATGTCCATCTTCCCAGTCCTGTGGCCTCTGTTCAGGATATGCCCCTTATCTGACCATCTGTCCCCCATCTCTGGGGTCAAGGTCACCCTCACTTCCGGCCTGGATCCTCGCTGGCGTGGACTCGTGGGTGGCCTCCCTGTGTCCCCTCAGGCCTGTGTGCTGTGCAGTGTCTGCTCCAATGGCACCCGCCCCTGTCAGACTGTGCCCAGTGGCCACACGTTGTCCTGGGTGTAGCTTGGGGCCCACATGGCGGCCTGGTGCCCGGGCATCTACCTCCACGCTGGCCTGCTTGCCGTTCCTTCAGCCTGGCGGGCAGGCTTCTGTTTGCCGTGGCCCCGCCTGGAATGTTCTTCCCCTCTCGAGTCCACATGGGTCACTCCCTCACTTTCTCCTAGTCTTGGTTTCCGTCAGTGACACTTCCCTGGGTCCCCACTTGAAGTCGGCACCTCCCAACCCAGCACGTCTCTCTTCCCCTTCATTTTTCTCCACAGCGTTTACCATCCCACCCCATATCTGCTCGTTCGTGTCTGTGTTTCGCTCGCTGTCTTTCCTGCCAGAACAAGGTCCCCTGGGGCGGGGAGTTTTGGTGCTGGTTTATGCTTTTAAGTTAGTGCCTCACGGGTAGCAGGTTCTCGGGAAACATCTGTGGGTCGGACGGACGGCCTTCAAGGTGGAAGCCCTTCCTTGTTAAGCAGCCAGAGGCCTGTGGAGTGAGGAGCTTGTCTGGGCTGGGCTGTTCCAGCTCCTGCCCGCACCGGGGCCCAGCCACTCCCTACAGCGTGGTGGCTGCGAGTGGGTGGGGAGGACGGCACCAGGTGGACCAGCCCGGTGCCCTGACCGAGGCTGTGGCCCAGGCCTGGCTCTCTCTGTGTCTGGGACAGTCCACATGGTCCAGGCGGTGCAGGTGGCGACAGGGATTGGAAGTGCACTTGGTGACGCTGGGCCAGCTCGGCAGGGCATGGCATGGAATTTGGTGTGGATCACGCAGAGACCTGCTAGGAAACAGGGAAGGAAGGGCGGGCTCTGCATGGAGACGGAGAGCTCGCTTTTGGCCTCATGGAGTTTGAGGAGGACCGTAGGATAGCCAGCAGGGATGCCACGAACAGGGGGCCACAGGACAAGCTCAACAAGGGGCACAAGTGGTTTGGCCACCCCCCGCCCCGGCCACCCTGTGAGTCCCACCTCCCACGTTGACCCCGGGTAGGCCCCGTGAATTTGGAGACCTGGATAGGTACGCTGCAAGCAGGAGCCTGGGGAGGGCTCAGGGGCCAGGGCTTGCCCTTGCACAACACATGTGGGATGCCCACGTGTCCCACGGAGGTTGCCATGGGAAGAATGGCCCTGCCACCAGCCCTGCCTGCCTGCCGGACGTGGGGGCGATATCGTCCTGAGGCTCCTGGGCCCCGGCGACCTTCAGATGGCTGCAGCAGAGCGGTGCCTCTGGCGAACCAGCGCCCTGCTCGCCATGGGGCTGACCGGGGTGGTGGGGGTGGACCGCTCACCCTGGGACCTGTCTGGGCCCGAGAGCTGGGAGGTGAGATCGCTCCTTCGTCACAGAGGACCGGGAGGCTCCTCAAGCAGGGCCAGGCATGGGCAGGCCAGGCTGTTTGCGGGCACTCAGCAGGTGTCTGTCATTGTAGCACATGCTTGAGGGCAAGTGTACAGATCACCAGTCCACACCTCGATAGACTTTTTACAGGTACGTGTCTGTGTGATTGTCCAGATAGAGATCGAGAACATTGTTTCTTCCTCCGGTGGATGCCTCTGCTTCCCCACGGCAGCCCCTCCTCTGACTGCTTTTGGTTCCGATTAGCTTGGCTCGTTTTGGAACCTCCCAGGAGCAGACGCTGGGGCATGTGCGCGGGCGTTTGGCGGCTTGTGCTCTGCGTGGTGTCGTGGTTCCTCGGGGCCTCGTGTGCCGGGTGGTTCTCACGTCCATAGGAAATTTCGCTGTAGCAGGAACGTGGCCCATGTGTCTGTTCGGCGTCACTGGCCCTTCCAGGGGTTTCTGTCCGGGGTAGTTGGAGATAAAGTGCTGTGAACATTCCTGTGTCTTGGTGGACACGAGTTTTCTTTCCCCGGGCGCCTCCCTGGGGTGGGCGTCCTGGGACACTGACGGTCTGATGGTCACCCAGACCACGCTCGTTCCCGCCTGTGCCACAGGCCTGGTGTCCGTCTAGTGCGTGCACACCTGTGGGGGCCGGGAGCCGCAGGAGACTCAGCAACGAGCAACTGAAACCATTATTTTAGTCACTAAACCACAGGGAGTGGGCCGCACCCTTTACATACAACTCGTGGCTAAAACACAGACAGTCGCCTGGCCTCGCTGGGTTCATTCCTGGCCCTTCATGGTGAGTGTTCATTCTGTGCCTTACTGGGCCCCTCAGCGAAAAGTTCATAGACGGCCTGGTTTCCATCGCAGTCCACACCACCAGCCCCATCCGCACTGGTCTCCGTCTGGACTCATGCTCCCAGTGCCAGAGGGACCAAATGGCCTTTCCTGCGGTTAAGATCCTAATTTCTAACTGTTTACTCTTTTTTTTGGAAACTTCAGTAAGGGTGTAGACACCTTTGATAGAGGTTGAGTGAGTATACATCACATTTTTAGGAGTTCTCCTTGTTTACATTTTACTTCAAACAAACAGCCCCCAGTGAACGTCATCGGTCTCCGGGAGCGCAGCCAGGCCTGGCATGTTCTCATCTTGGGGTCGGAGGATAATACTTGGCACCTGCGCTCTTGCCGCCTCGTGCGTCCCCCCAGGGGTTCCCCCATCTCCCCATTTGCTGTGGGCTGTGCACGTGAGCAGGACACATCGAGGCTGCCCAGGTCTGTCCCCCCAGAGGTCCCGCAGTCACTTGTGAGGGGTGCTTGCCAGCCACAGGTGAGGAGTCTTGACTGTGACCACATGGCAGTGCTGGGACTGGACTGGGGATGCCGGGGAGGTCCCATCTGCTGTCCAGAGCTAGTCTGTGGCTGGGACGCTGCCTGCCCGCATGACTCAGTGTCATCACTGGGAAGCATGCTGGTGGCAAGCAGCCGGGTGTGTGCTGGCAAGTATGCCTCCCTCCCCGGGCTGGAGGTGACACCAGTGCTGTGTGTCCCCGTGAGGGTTCTGTTGGCCGCTTTGGCAGTCTGGGTCCCTCTCCTGTTGTGTCACCTCCAAGTGCCGCTGTCTTTAATTTTTGTTGCTGCTTTTTGCCTTTTAATTAGAGATACTGGGTGGCAAAGCAGGGAGAGAAGCTCTTCCTATTCCTTTTAATTCTAATGTTTCTTGCACTGCCGATCCCGGCCAAGCTCTGCACACGGGCCCTGGAGCCGAGCACCTGTGCCGCTCTCCGGTGGGAGCCCCTGAGCGGGGGACAGCTGTGAAAGTGGGACACGGTGCCCAGTGGTGATTACCGTGGGAATCCCGAGAGAGCTGATGCTCAATCCAGCTTCCCCAGAACTTTTTCTTTTTTTTTTTTAAGGTTTGCAGAACACCGGGTAAAGAAATTAAATAGATTTCTTTATCGTAGGACTTTTCAGAGGCTTTACTCCATGAATTGCTTTATAAATCATCAAGGAGGCAGTGGCCTCCAGCGTCTTCCTGATGCAGGGCCTGGACATTGCCAGAGTTGGGAGACGGCCTGGTGACAGGTCAGGGTTCTGGGCACGACATTTGACAATGTACAGATCAAGAACATTAGGCACCTTGGTATTTCCCAGGGAAAAGGGTGGTGGGGGCAGGGGCTGTGTGGTGAGCAAGTGTGTGCCCCTCCCTCGCTAATGCTCCCTCTATCCAGAAGGGGGCAGTGTCGGGGCCCAGAGATGGCTTTATGTCCCTCCAGTCAGCCGTCACTGAACCCTCACACCAAGCCAGCTCCTCCTGCCTGGTAAGGTGGGCTGGCGCTGGGGCCTCTCTGGGGTCCCTAGGGGCATCCTTGTTTGCCCAAGTGCCAGCTGGTTATGGCTGATGGCATGGAAGGAAGGGGAAGGAGAGGGAGAGCCGGTGTGGCTCATGGCACAGCTCTAAAGTGAGTTTTCCTGTCTTGCTGCTGTTTTGAAATGGCCACAGCGAGGTGCACAACTCACGTCTGCTCCAGATCCCCCAGAGGACTGGGGTTTCAGTTCCAGCCCTGCCGCTTGAGAACGGAGTGCCCCTGGGCAGTTCCTTAACCTGGATTTCTTTCCAATCAAAGCCAGGATCAGGCTTGTCTAGAGGACCGAGTAGGGAAGTGTCTGCAGAGCCCCTGGTGAGTGACCAGCCAAGAGCCTTGGGTCAGCAAAGGCACCGCCCCTGATGGGCTCCCTGCTCTCTGCTCTTGTGTTCCAGGACCTGGTGACGATGGTGGAGCAGCTGGCCAGATTCCTCGGGGTGTCCTGTGACAAGGCGCAGCTGGAGGCCCTGAGCGAGCACTGCCACCAGCTGGTGGACCAGTGCTGCAACGCCGAGGCCCTGCCCGTGGGCCGGGGTACGCGCCCTGCACCCCCCCAGCCCTCCCAGCCAGGGTCTGTGGTGCCCCATGTCCCTGTTCCCTGCCCTGGGCCTCGTGTCTCTGGAGCTCTCGAGCAATGGGGGGCCCCTGCTGGCATGGCATTGCGACTATGCGAGTGGCCTTGGAGATCTCGGGGTGACTGTCGGGATGTGGGCTCTGTGTGCAAAACAGTGCAAGCAGGTGCCTTTCCCGATGGCCCCACAGAGCAGATCCCGGGGTGGGTTCGGGCTGTGAGATGTGAGCCCGAGGCTGGCAGCCTGCAGCTGGCTGCAAGAAGCTCCCCCGCGAGGAGCAGGGGCGTCTCCCCCTTTGTGGGGCTCCATCGGCTCCTCTCCATCCACACCGTGGGCCCCAGCACCACGTGGGCCACGGCGGGGAGACTGGTGCTCGCTTCTGGCGCCGCAGTTGCCTCCTGGGCATGAAACGGGTGAGGCGGAGGACGCGGTCCAGGCAGGAGCCCTCGGCACGTTTGCCTGGGTTGCTGTCTGTCCTCGAGGTTTGCGATGTTGAAACTGCTTGCTGGTGGAGACCTCGGTGTTAGAGCGCCCTGACCCTGTGGTGGGGGCGGTGGTCCCAGGAGCCACCGTCCTGGCAAGTACGAATTGCCTGTGGCACTTGGTGTTACACACCTTCCGTGGGTTCCCAGCTGGGCGAGCTGGGACCTTCCTCAGGTGACAGCGTCCAGAGGTGCCTCCAGAGCCCGCAGTGCGTCTCAGAGGCGCGGCTCCATCCAGGCTGGTGCCAGCCCATGGCAGTGTCCTGGGGAGGGCCTCGGGCTCCCCAAGATCCCGCTCTTCCTCTAGAAAGGGGCGGTGCTGAAGGTCAGGTGGAGGGCACCCTCCTGCAAAGGCAGAGCGGGCGGCTGGAACCACAGCACCCTGCAGACATTTCCTGGCTGCATCTTCACAAATATTTATTATTTAAAATTTATTTGCTCTTTTTTCATTTCACTTTTGCTGTGTTTTGTTATCCTTGGATGTGACCTTCTCCAAAATACCCCTTTTGGTTCATTTGCGTGGTAAAGGAGTGTCGAGAACATACTGCGCACCCATATGCTCCTTCTGATGTGTTTGCTTTATCATTGTTTACCTTGGTTTTGCTTTATTTCAGTTCTTTGATTTTGTTTTCTTTTAGCACATTGCCTCTTTGCTCAGAAGACCTCCTTGCGTTGGTGAGAACGCAGGGCTGTGTAGCCAGCCGCATTGCTTAACTTTGATTCATGTCACAGCATAAATTGCACTGTCTTGATTCCAAACCCTAAACCAGGTGGGTGACTCCTTTGATGAGCTCTCAGCTGCCTCGGCTGAGAAAAATAATCATGGAAAAATATATTTATAGTGTGGTTGGTCTAGAAGATTCTAATTTTGTCCCTCAGATGTCAGTAGAGGGTACCAGGAACACTTTCTCGTTTCCCCCTGCCCCAGACATGGATATATAATGTCTCATTACCGGAGAGAAAAACCCTGTCCCGTCAGGTCTAGTAGCTCAGCATCTGCAGGGATGCATTTTCTCCTTCCTGAGGTCCCGTCAGGACGAGGACTTCTGTTACTAGTGGAGCTAATAACGGATATTGGCTGGAGACAGTCACAGCTCTGATCTCAGAGATGCTGATGTGGGAAGGAATTCAAAACAAGCATCTTGGTCCCCCAAGGGTATTCCTTAAAAGCATGGGGACAGTGCTCCGGCGACAGTCCTCATGCACCTGGAGCTGGGGGTTCGGAACCCCCACGCCTGCCATCTTCCCGGGCACTGCTCGTGTCTGAGCAGACCATCCGAAGGTTCTGTAGTTACCGAGCAAAGTGGGTTTGGTGGCCTTGGGCATTTTGAGCTCTCTCTTTCTCCCCTAAGTGTTCATAAAGGAGCAGCTAGCCCGTGCCTGCCTGATAGTCCGCAGGGCCCATGCTCCTGCATATCTGCCCAGAAAAGGTTTCTGTTCTGACCGAGCCTCCCTGAGCTGGAGCGGCACCGAGCGGCTGGGCATCGCCCCCAGCTTACTTCCGTGGGGCTCAAGTCTGCCAGCCACACGTCTGGCATCTAGTTGCAAAAGCTCGTTTACACTGTGTCTCTTCTGTTCCCTTTAAATTCCTCCCCAAGGTTGCTTCTCGCAATCTTTACTCTTGACTCTGTCAGGAGGCTTCCTACTCACCATAAAAGGTTCTGCCTTTTTGGATGGTTTTTTCCTCTTTGCCAATTCTCCAGAAGCAGATGCCACCTTGGTGGAGCTGTTGAGTCGTGAGTGAGTAGTGATACCCCAGAGAAGCCAAATGCACATGGTGCCCCGAGTGGTAGAGCCGTTGCACAGACACCATCCGTTCCCTGGGGCGTGCTCCCAGCTGCTGGGGATGCGCCAGTGGCCGGGGGCCGAGGCCCTGCTCTCGAGCCTCAGCGGGGGAGGGACACCCAAACGGCCAGATTCGGGGAGATGGGCTCCGCTCGTCTGGAGTTCAGGTGGCTTGTCCTACACTTGTAGGCCAAGTTCAGAGGGGTCCAGGAATAGATCTGGAACCTTCCAGAACCTTTTCCAAGGCTCCCATTGGTTCGGGATCTGGCCTGACAGCAAGTGAGTTCAGCACGTTCTACTCTCTTTTGTGTTTCAGGAAGAGTCGGGCTCTGGAAGGACATCTTCACCGTCTCCATGAACGAGAAGTTTGACTTGGTGTATAAACAGAAGATGGGGAAGTGCGGCCTCGCGTTTGACTTCTGTTTGTAATAACAGCGACAGCAGACTTGCATGCCCACAGTACCCAGACCCTCCACTAGCTAAAAGTCCTGTACGCACTCATTTGTTCCTTGCTGGACGAGCTCCGGGAGCGGTGTGAGGCCCGGGGGAGGGAGGGAAGCAGCAGAGACGCTGGAGGAAGAGGGGCCCTTGCTTCTGACCCAGAGCAGCTGACTCGCCTTGGGGATGTGAAGGCTCCGTCGGATTACACCCCTGACAAAGATCGCAGGTTCGGTGGCCTGTATCCTAAGTATAAAGTCTGTAACATATGCAGCTAGAATGTCTACCTTTTACAACCCCACATTATTTATTGTATTTTATAGAGCTTTTCACTGGAAATTTAAATAAATGTCAGTAAACCAAATACAAGTTCATTTCCAAGGGGACTCAGGAGCGAGCCACACCCGGATGGTAGGAAGATCTCAGGGCTGACTCTTTATTTTTGTAGATTCGTTCTGTAAGGCACAGACGTTCTGTTCTCTCCTGGCTCGGGAGGAAGGTGAAGACCCAGGATGAGGTGGGTGTGGGGGGGCGTGATTTGTTTTGATGAGTTCAGTTCTTTGTAACCTAAACAAAGCAGACACTGTCCGGCAGGCACTTGTGGAAAGGTTGTCCCTCTGCGGAGACTCCCCGCGGGTGGCCTCAGAGGCCCAATCCACGGGAACTGTTGGAACATTCCTTGAGGGAACCCGCCCAGGGAGGCCGGCAGATGGGGTCCAGCGCGTGACTTGAGAACCTGCCCCAGAGCCTGAGCGTGGGCAGAGCCCGAGTTCCCGTCCCGCTAACCCCGGTTCCCTGCTCCCGGGGCCGTTTACGCGGGTGAGCAGGCGCTCGACCCCAGACCCCCCAACCTTTGTCACTTGGTTCGTTCCGTCTGTACCTGAGGCGCTCGGCCGTGGGAGAACCAGCTTGCGGGTTTAACGCCCTCTTCCACTCAGACTGCTTGGCCATCTTGCCTTTGTGCCTCAGTTTACCTGCGGGAGCAGAGGTGGTGTCTTGACCGCCCCACGCCTTGCGTCCCCGTCTGACCCACATTTGGCGGGAGAAGCGTTGAGACTCGGCCAGGCGGTCTGTGTGTCACTGCTGTGCTGGGACTGGGGTCGGCTGGATACACACGTGGCCGGGAAGTGCCCAAGGTGGGGGCTGGAGGGTCGCTGCTGTGTGAGGGTCTCTGGGCCGTGTCGCTGCCTCGGAAACGGAGCAGACACGTGCCATTGTCTTGTTTGTGAAGGAGCAGCTTGGACAGGGCAGGTGGTACGCGGCGTAGTGTATGGTGGGCTTGGAGGCACCTTTTCTGTGTATCTGTGAGGGAGGCTGCTTTCTGTGAAATTTCTTTTCTATTTTTCTATTTTCAGCACTGTATGGATATTACTGAGCACCACACATGGTAACGTCTGTGCTTGCTTGCATCTTTAATAAAGACACGACCCATGCCTTGTGTTGCGCGTGTGCTGATGGGTGGAGAGGGGCAGCGTTTTGGGGCAGCGCGACTGGGGGCCCCGTGGACGCCAGGTCCTTGGGGCTGACCATGGGGGGCCGGGGGCAAAGACCCACATTGGTCTGGCTGTTTCACTCCGATCTGAACATTCCAAGCGGTGACTCCCCTCATTTATTTGTCCGTTCACCGTTGCTGTTTCTTAGAAGCTGAAGGGAGGGTTGGGGAAACAGGAGATAGGGGTGGAGGGGGTCCCCCCGGGAGGGTCCCATGTTTAATGCAGCTCACGGCTGCATATGTGGGGACCTGCCCAGCTGATTGCACTTGGCCACTTTGAATTCCAGAGCTTGCTTTCCTGATTCCTAGCGGCAGGAAAATCCAGGATTTCATGTTACCTGACAAAGCTCAGGCTTTCTGGAAAGCACGTTTGTTTTCAAACAGGCCAGTTCCTTCAGGTCTCGGGTGGAACCCCAGAACTACTATTGGTCTCCATAATTACTCTAGACCCCAAGTTAGTGCATGGAGGGTCTGGTCTGCTGCCCCAGAGGGGCTGCTCCCAGGCCACTTAAAAACCACCTGAAATCAAACAGGAACTGAGGGGGGCGCCTGGGTGGCTCAGTGGGTTAAAGCCTCTGCCTTCGGCTCAGGTCATGATCCCAGGGTCCTGGGATCAAGCCCCGCATCAGGCTTTCTGCTCAGCGGGGAGCCTGCTTCCCCCTCTCTTGGCCTGCCTCTCTGCCTGCTTGTGATCTCTCTGTCAAATGAATAAGATCTTAAAAAAAAAAAAAAAAAAAAAAAAAAAACAAGCAGGAAATTGAGGGCCAAGTCCGTGAACCCAGAGGCAGGCGGAGCCATGGGTCTCGCGCTCACTCCGCTAGTGTCCCCAGCCCTGTGCCCTTGCTGTGTCACTTCCTTTACTGGACCCATTTTATTCAGGAAACACTTGAGCGCCCATGAGGCCCTGGAGCCGCTGGGGGCGCTGGGGTCCCACAGGGAGCATAGAAGGGCCAGACCCCCAGGGAAACCAAGTCTGAGGAAGGCTGGCCCCGCCCTGGCTTGGAGTCCTGGGGAGGGGGGTGTGCAGGAGTGGGCGGGGAGGGCAGGGACTGCTGGACACTGGGCTGTGGGAGGGGGCTGATGTGGTAGGAGCCCCATTTTGGAGGGGTAGCCAGGAGCTGCCCCCTGAGGGCCTTAAGGGCCTGGGAGTTTGGATTTTGGAGCAAGAGCTAGGAAGCCACAGAAGGGTTTGCTCAAAGGAACGCTGCCCAATTTGCATTTTTGCAAGCACCCTGACTGAATGGGTAGCAGGGCCTTTATCCTGGCTGTGTGACTTGGTCCCCAAAATGAAGGGGGGTAGGGGGCGGGGCTGTATTAGATCAGCTCCAGGGGTCCCTCTGACCCGATGGTTGGTTCTCAGCGTTAGTGGGCGGTGTGTGCCAGACCCCAAGCATTACCTGGCGTTCGCGCTCACCTGGAGCTCAGACAAGGGGGAGGTAATTGGGGGTGCAGGTGCCGTGAAGCTCGCCAGCAGAGCCTGTTTGGAGGACGGGACGATGGGATGGATAGTTGTGTGCAGGTGCAGGTGGGGTTTGAGTCGAGCCACGAGGGGAAGGAGGCTCTGGTCAGATGGAGGAGGCAGGACGGCCAGTTGCACAGAACGACGGCCACGGGAGCCTCGAATGGCAGGGTCCTGAGCAACTTGCTGGGCACCTGGCCTTTTGACTTCACAGACCGACAAGATTGCAGGAAGCGGTGTCATAATTTTCCCAGTGGGGACTATCTCCGTCTACACCCCCTTCGCAGGAAGGTCTTCGCAACAAGAGTGAGGGGTCTTCGGAAGCAGAAACTCAGATCACACATTGGAGTGTCCGTGGCCAGCTCCACTGGGCAAACACCACCCCCCCTCACTGCCCCCAGTGGGGCCAAGACCCCTCTGCCTGCCGACCTCCAGCCTCTGGCAGCCACAGCTGGGAGCACCCTCCCTCTGTGTGGCCTCCACACTGCAAAGACAGGCCAGACGTGTGGTCCCTGTCCCAGGGGCAGGGGCCAGTGTCCCCAAGTAGGGGACAGTGTTCCCACCATTCGGAGCCGGTGGCTGCAGTTTGAAATGGGTGGAGGGAGTTCTCGGGTGCTTGGGTGCGGACGGTGGGTCTCGTGCTCCTGTAGAGTTTGCCCCCCCACCCAACCCGTGCAACATCATTGCCCTCTCTTGGTTGTAGAATGAGCATTTTCAGACTGGGGGCGGGGGGCACATTGGTCAGATGGTCCAGCCTCACCCACCGAGGACTGTCCTCTGACGTCCCTTACAAGCTCGCCGCCTCCCGGGACAGCCATTCTGTTGCTGGCGGTGCTCTCTAGCCGTGTCCTCTGGCCCCTGCCCCAGCCTGGGACCACCCTCATCCCTGGCCTCCTTCTCTGGGACGCCCAACCCTGCCTTGGCCTGGCGAACATTGCCTCTGCTCCGCTGGTGCCCCCCGCTCTCCTCTCTCATTCCACGCACCTCCTGGCTCTGCAGCTGTCTCCCCCCGTGGACAGTGACACCCCAAAAGCAGGGCCATGCTGTGTCTTCCCTTGGTTGGAGTTCGGCAAATAATCAGCCGTTAATAATTGCTAAGGGAGTGCCATCTTTCATTGTTAGAGTGGATTTTGTTTTTTTTTTTTCTGAAAACTGCCCTGTCCCTTCTGTACATGGCTTCTGGGTCTACCTTTGGAGGCTGTGTCTTCCCAAGTAAGAACCAGGCTCCCCTCCTGTCTCCTCATCCCAACCCACCACTCTGGGCCTCTGCCCTACAACTACACACTTCTTCCTTTAGGGCCAACGGTCTGTTCCAATCATGTGTTTCCCTCCCCGGCGCACCTTCCTGACAAGTCACTGGCTTCTCAAATGTAGATGTAACTACGGGAGGAGCAGTTTCTGGTGCCCATCCTTCCTTTCTCCCTCTGTTTCAAAGCCCAGAAACACACAACCCATAAGAACAGCCTACACCCTTCGCTGGGCACGCCTCCCCCTCTTCCTTCATCTCCTTCCGTGGTGTTAGTGAGCATCTGCTCTGTAATGTACCCGTATGGTCCTGGAGACAAAGACGATCACAGTGACTCTCCCCTTCAAACTGAATACCCCACTGTTCTGCTCCCTGGGGATTCTGCTCTCATTTAGTACCCAAATACCTACGGAAGGAGCCCAGGCTGGGGACTGGAGGACCTGGGCCTTAGAGTCCTGGTTTCATCTTGGTCGGCCATGTGACCCGGCAAGCCAGCTGCCTTCTCTTAGCCCGAGTCACCATCCCTCCCAAATGGATGTTTTGTAGTAAGCCATCTCGAAGGTCTCTTCTGCTTGTTCAAGTCTCCAGTTCGTGGCTCCGGGAGCTTTCCTGCAACCCGCCACTGAGCACCACCCGGCCGATGCGAGCATCTCCTCCGCAAGTGAGAAACAAGGAGTGGTGCGGAGGGCTGGCACCAGAGAGACCCAAAACAAGGAGAGCGGGGAGACTGCATAACGTAAGCAGCAGACCCTGGGCTGGGTCTGGAAGCAGGTGGGAGTGGGCAAGGGCCCGAGGGAGGCACGCTAGTGGGAAGAAACAAGCAGCACCAAAACGAGTCGGGCACCCGGGTCGGATTCCGGCTCCGCCAGTATCAGTGGGACCACAAGGGAAGCCCTTTTTTGTCTCATGATGGGGAGGTCTCAGCCCGGGGGTCTTGACATCCCGCCCAGCACGAACATTCTGGGACTCTTAAGTGGTCCCACTGCCTGTTGACT